TAACAGAAAATCATTTTTAATGTTCTTGAACCAGAATAAGTGAACTAAAATATCTTCATAGCATATGTGGTTACTCAATATTTTGCTTAAAATTTGTGCAGCCCAAAACAGTTACCAGCTGCATTTAATTACCAGACAGTATTAAAAACATCTCTATGTATAATTTTATTTATGTATGTATCTATGTAAAGAGTGGATAAGATAGAAGCTAGCCAATTTGAGGGTAAGGAAAACTAAAGAAAAATAAGAACTCAAAATACTATTAGTAGGAACTGTTATTTGGAACTTTGAAATATTTTAGTATATTTTTCTTTATATTTAACAGCATGGGACAATTAGCAGGACCCATACCAGAGCTAAACCAATTCATAAGTTTTACCCATGCATTATGTGACAAAAACTTTTTGAATATAAAATAACCAGCACTTCTGTAAAACACTGATTTTTAATTGTGTAATTAAAGTGATATAGTAAAATAAGAATGTTTTATTTCTAAAGTAAATATTTTAGTCAAAGTTGCATCAGAAATCAAGTATTTCTTTGACATTTTCCAAGAGATTTTAATTAACTACAATTATAGTTGTTAGTATTATATAGTAACACATTGTTTAAAATATATTATAAAATTTTTCTTTTCTTCTTTAATTTAAGTGAAATATAAAATTAAGAATTTTGTAACACAATTCATACTGGAAAACATTTAAAATGGGATGAACTACTCTCATACAGAAAATGCCATTGGAATCACATAAAATGTTCTAATCTTGAAAGTGCCAGGCACAATGCTTGGCACATAATAGATACTCCACAAATGTTTGTTCATTCATTCTCTCATTTACTCATACACTCATTCAAAGAAATACAGGCTTAAGGAGAAAATTTATTATAATGAGAATGGCAAGCACAATCTTTTATCAACAAATTTAAGAGTCTTGACAAAGATTTTGGCAATGGAGAGTGGAGAAGATGAGGAGCTGATGATCAAGATTTCAAACTGCTTTGTTAAAATCTACCAAGTGAAGCCCTGGGTTGGCCTAGATGACATCATAGAGAATCAGGGTCAATACTCCACAAAAAGAATGCATTTCTTCAATGCCCAGGCTTTACCCTTACACACAAACACCTACTCAAACACAGGAATAAGTTGGTGTCAGAGAGACATAAAATGTGCAGCCCACCAGAAAGAACCCCCTGACTGGGGCCTTATTTTCTGCAATGAGACTTCTTTTTGGTTAGGGCCCCATTCTCTTGGTTTTAACAACTTTATATTGTTTGATATAAAAAAAAAAATCTAGTTTGAACCAAAAGTTTGATACTAAAATGAAGAGAAATAAATGTAAAAGGTAGAGGGGTGTTCAGCATTTTTTTATTTCCATTTATGTACCAACTGATCTATCTATTCTGCACATTTGTGCCAAAGGCACAAGGTGAGGTGTCAACTCTTTGAGGAGGCACCTGGAAAGGGGCATTTTTAGGCTCTTTGCAGAAGGTCTTATAATGCAATGAGTATTAACCTGAGTAATAAGATCTACAAAATATAAAGGGCTATCAAGGACAGAAGAAAGAATACTCTTGGAAACTAAGCAGAATATGGGATAAGGATTGATTTTGGAGAAAATAATTAAAAAATCTATAACAAATATAAACAATGACAGTGGCAAGTCATTTGTAGCTGACTTTAATTGCCTTTGGTATTCAGAGAAGAAAAAAATGGAAGCATGGTTATAAGCTCTAGTCTTATCATCACAAAGAAGGTACGGGGCATGAAGAAGACCCTTCCACTGTCCCTCTCAAAGTCCTTGCTTGTATCAGAACTGGCCCTGCTTGTACACTTTTCTGCCTTCTCTTAATGCTCCAGTCATCCAACTAATACAGAGTACTTGGGGTAGGGGTTCTGTCTCCTCATCTTTTGAGGAGTTCATGGAGACCCAAGAAGGCCCCTTCCTTTATTCTGCATTTTTCCGTACAAAACAAGAGAGGGTTCATTGCCATCTGCACAGCTGCTCTGAGTTGTTGCCAACTCAAGTTTTTCACTTTTTATTCAGTGATTCATAAGTGGGCTTGTGCTATTTTTAGGATGAAGTTTAAATTTATTTTGAGAACCAAATACTTTCTCTTTTTCTTCTAAAGTTCCATTCATCTACCCTTCTCATTTAAAAATTTTAAATTTTCAAATAGTAAAAGATATTACAATTTCAAAATCTGTGCTAAAATTTTACTCTCTTAAAGACTTAATGCAACTGGTTCTACATCTTTATTGTCCATGTGTACTGAAAAATTTGGAGGTGGCTATCATTTATGTATCATTGGCTGAACTGTGAGGACTATTTGATGATTTGTCATGTAAGATGATCACTCTTATTCAATTACATTAATTTATTCATTTCCCAACTTAAATCTACCACGTGCTAATAGACAGTTGAAAAGCTATCCAATAAAGAAATAAGTCTTTGGAATTCTAAGATGGGCTCTTGTACAAACTTTGCTTCATGAAATCTCCAAATTCAGAGTAAATTTTGGACTAATTATATTGTTTCCAACTTTTAATTTCAGTGGAAGCTGTATTAAATGAAAAGAGAAAAAAAAGTGTCATGCACTGTCTCATAAGTTCAAGGAACAGAATTTATAAACATTAGATATTTATCTTACATGATAGTTCTTGATAAAATCTAAGTTGTTTGTGTCAAAATATAAAGAATAAGTAATCTCTTTAAAAAGGAAATATCAATGCAAAACCTACTGAGAGTAAGAGACAGTCCCTTAGACATATCCCAATTTTAGTGTAATATAATTATTCCACACTTTCAGCACTGAAAATTATTTTGAAGCTATTCTGATTAATTCTTTGGATTTCTATAAATATTCTTGAAGAACATAAATAACAAAAAATATTTGTGAACAGCTCACTCATCTGATTATGGTAAATAAAGGATCCCCTGTCCCCATTCCAGATAGAATATTTAAGAAAGTTTCACTGTGTTTTGTTTTGGCTTTAATAAGTTGTAAAAGTAATTTAGCTTATCAAGGCAAATTCAGATCTGCATAATAAATAGTATAGTGAATTTTGCCAAGCCACAAAAATAAAGTTGTAAATTGAGTGGCTTTACTGACCTTATTGAGATTAAAGTGGATAAAATTTATTCAGTAGATTTGCTGGTTCAGAAAAATCATCTCCTACCAACAAAACCAAGGATTTCTCTTAGAACAGGTTTCAAGACAATAAACTGCAGCATTTTCCCCACTTTTGGTCATGCTACCAACACTAGACTGAACTACATGCACAAAAACCCAAACCCGGGCTCTTAAGTAGTGGTTATGATAAACAGCAGTTTCAATGATAGCATATGGAGACAAAGACTTGAAGAGTATTCTTTGTGAGCTCATGGCCCCAGAGAAAATTAAATTTAAGCAAGAAATTTCAATGGAATAGATTGGGATTCAAAACAGTTGCCAGTCTTATCATCCAGTGGGGCTCTTGATAATTCAGACAGGGATAGGTACTTCTGTTTCTTTTTTGAGTCTTCTTGCTGCTGAGGCAGGTACTGATTTTTGTTCTTGTTTATCTTAGTTCATTCCATTATTAAAATGGAGGAAAAAAGGGATAAACAATGTGTAAATATTTTATTTGAAAGCTACTCCACTGTGGGAGGAAACAAATATATAATTGGTTGCAAAGGCCATCTCTAACTCCTGCAAAGTGTTCTATATTCTTGGCTTGCTCTTAAAACTAGTCTCCAGACTGCAGGACTCTAAAAACAAATTAGTAGTAATAAGCATCATTTTTCATGTGACCATCTCATTAAGAATCAAAGCACAGCAGGTATCTCTCCTATACACATACCAGAACGTGTTTTGGTCAGGTATAAAATGGAATAATTTCAAAGTTGATATATCTACAAGTTGAAAAGTCTTGCAGGGAATAGTTTCACTCTATCATGTTGACTTAGAGGTCCAGGTTTTCAAAAGCCTCCTCTCCGGACTAATTTCTGCAGTGGTCCATGTAAACAAAACACAGGTGAGAATGGTCCTTCTGGAGCTGCTTTCATCGAACAGCAGGGTTACCTGAAAGTGTGGTGTTTGCTAAATGTAACACTGGCAGAGGATGAGCCTCTGTATTAAACACCCAGTGGTCTAAGGGTAAAAGATCATCACTGGAGAATAGCAGATACAAATACCTGAAAATAAAAGGGGGGAGAAATGAGCTTCAATTAAAATTCAACAAGATGATCAAGTGAGTTCAGTTACAATGGCAAAGGGAAATAATAACCTATTTTGAGCAACTGATGAAAAACACGGAATGAACCTCAGATATCCAAATGATCTAAAAACACAAAAAGAACGTGTTCCAGAATAGTGCATAAAACCCCCAGTAAGATGCATAACTAGATCTGCTGAAATAAAGTTTANTTGATGATTTGTCATGTAAGATGATCACTCTTATTCAATTACATTAATTTATTCATTTCCCAACTTAAATCTACCACGTGCTAATAGACAGTTGAAAAGCTATCCAATAAAGAAATAAGTCTTTGGAATTCTAAGATGGGCTCTTGTACAAACTTTGCTTCATGAAATCTCCAAATTCAGAGTAAATTTTGGACTAATTATATTGTTTCCAACTTTTAATTTCAGTGGAAGCTGTATTAAATGAAAAGAGAAAAAAAAGTGTCATGCACTGTCTCATAAGTTCAAGGAACAGAATTTATAAACATTAGATATTTATCTTACATGATAGTTCTTGATAAAATCTAAGTTGTTTGTGTCAAAATATAAAGAATAAGTAATCTCTTTAAAAAGGAAATATCAATGCAAAACCTACTGAGAGTAAGAGACAGTCCCTTAGACATATCCCAATTTTAGTGTAATATAATTATTCCACACTTTCAGCACTGAAAATTATTTTGAAGCTATTCTGATTCTTTGGATTTCTATAAATATTCTTGAAGAACATAAATAACAAAAAATATTTGTGAACAGCTCACTCATCTGATTATGGTAAATAAAGGATCCCCTGTCCCCATTCCAGATAGAATATTTAAGAAAGTTTCACTGTGTTTTGTTTTGGCTTTAATAAGTTGTAAAAGTAATTTAGCTTATCAAGGCAAATTCAGATCTGCATAATAAATAGTATAGTGAATTTTGCCAAGCCACAAAAATAAAGTTGTAAATTGAGTGGCTTTACTGACCTTATTGAGATTAAAGTGGATAAAATTTATTCAGTAGATTTGCTGGTTCAGAAAAATCATCTCCTACCAACAAAACCAAGGATTTCTCTTAGAACAGGTTTCAAGACAATAAACTGCAGCATTTTCCCCACTTTTGGTCATGCTACCAACACTAGACTGAACTACATGCACAAAAACCCAAACCCGGGCTCTTAAGTAGTGGTTATGATAAACAGCAGTTTCAATGATAGCATATGGAGACAAAGACTTGAAGAGTATTCTTTGTGAGCTCATGGCCCCAGAGAAAATTAAATTTAAGCAAGAAATTTCAATGGAATAGATTGGGATTCAAAACAGTTGCCAGTCTTATCATCCAGTGGGGCTCTTGATAATTCAGACAGGGATAGGTACTTCTGTTTCTTTTTTGAGTCTTCTTGCTGCTGAGGCAGGTACTGATTTTTGTTCTTGTTTATCTTAGTTCATTCCATTATTAAAATGGAGGAAAAAAGGGATAAACAATGTGTAAATATTTTATTTGAAAGCTACTCCACTGTGGGAGGAAACAAATATATAATTGGTTGCAAAGGCCATCTCTAACTCCTGCAAAGTGTTCTATATTCTTGGCTTGCTCTTAAAACTAGTCTCCAGACTGCAGGACTCTAAAAACAAATTAGTAGTAATAAGCATCATTTTTCATGTGACCATCTCATTAAGAATCAAAGCACAGCAGGTATCTCTCCTATACACATACCAGAACGTGTTTTGGTCAGGTATAAAATGGAATAATTTCAAAGTTGATATATCTACAAGTTGAAAAGTCTTGCAGGGAATAGTTTCACTCTATCATGTTGACTTAGAGGTCCAGGTTTTCAAAAGCCTCCTCTCCGGACTAATTTCTGCAGTGGTCCATGTAAACAAAACACAGGTGAGAATGGTCCTTCTGGAGCTGCTTTCATCGAACAGCAGGGTTACCTGAAAGTGTGGTGTTTGCTAAATGTAACACTGGCAGAGGATGAGCCTCTGTATTAAACACCCAGTGGTCTAAGGGTAAAAGATCATCACTGGAGAATAGCAGATACAAATACCTGAAAATAAAAGGGGGGAGAAATGAGCTTCAATTAAAATTCAACAAGATGATCAAGTGAGTTCAGTTACAATGGCAAAGGGAAATAATAACCTATTTTGAGCAACTGATGAAAAACACGGAATGAACCTCAGATATCCAAATGATCTAAAACACAAAAAGAACGTGTTCCAGAATAGTGCATAAAACCCCCAGTAAGATGCATAACTAGATCTGCTGAAATAAAGTTTAAAAAAAAAATTCCACATAGCTGTCCTAAGCACTTAAAATAACAATCCGATTAAATGGCATAACACAAAAAGAACGTGTTCCAGAATAGTGCATAAAACCCCCAGTAAGATGCATAACTAGATCTGCTGAAATAAAGTTTTAAAAAAAAATTCCACATAGCTGTCCTAAGCACTTAAAATAACAATCCGATTAAATGGCATAAAACTAATTCATAATTTTTCAAAGACATTGTTTTAAAAATCACATATAATATCAATTGTATGTTTTGACAACTTACAGAGCTCATCGTAGAACTAGAAATTAATTCACATTTCTTAATAATAAACACTGAAGGAAATAACCACACTATTTGGACATAGCAAAGACTTTTGTACCACTCCTCCTAATACATTAGTAACTGTAGTTTTTGCAGTTTCTAGAACAGGTATGACAAGCTGTTAAATAAGTTTCAGAAACATTATGGGTTTACAAGAGGTTTATAATATATTAATTGCTACTAATGGGTAGTAGCAGTGTTTATATGAAGGCAAGGATCCTTACCTCTTCATTAACAGTGCAAGCTACAGTAGTCACTTGGAAATTAAAAATAATAGAGTCAATACACACAATGATTTTTACTGATAATGTTGGGAAAATTCCAATCTGAATCCTACTAGGGAGTCATTGAAGTGAACATAAAAAAAACCATATAGTCAGGAAATCTGGTTCTAACTCTTGATCTCAGCAATAAATAGCTGGGCCTTAGTGAAGAACTTATTTTGAAAAGGGGCATTATTCATATCTTTTCTGATTACTGTTAAAGTTCTAGATGAGCCAGTAAAAACACATAGCACTGAGGTAAATCAGGATTACATATCAATGTTATAACTGGTATAGCTGGAATGAACAGTGTAGTGGATTGAATTATGTCCCCCCAAAACTCCCTGAAGCTTGAATTGTGTCCCCCAAATTTTACATATTAGAATCTTAGCTCCCACTGTGACTGTGGGATTCTATTCTGGTAATTGAAAGGTGGAGCCTTAAATAGGTGATTGTATTGTAGGACCATGCCATAGTGAATGGATTAAAACTGGTGGTTAAGGGCATGGTTCTGAGGGCTTTAAAAGAAAAGGAGAGCCTATCTTTCTTGCTCTCTCTTTCTGCTTCCACCATCTTGCAATGTGAGACCCCTGGGTCACTGTCACCACCATCAGATGGACTTTGGACTTCCCAGCCTCAGAAACTGTAAGCAATATATTTCATTTCTTTATAAATTACCCCGTTCCAAGTATTTAGTTATAAGCAACAAAAATGGACTAATACAAACAGTAACAGGGCTTCCTATTTCACTCCTCAACCATAAACCTTGAGAGCTACTGGACTGATTTATTCACCAGTTTGCAGGCAGAGAAGTTGGAACTTAAAATACAGATTTGGTTGAACATAGCAAGATACTCTGTTTGGTCTGCTCACTGTATGGAGACCAGAAGCAAAAACTCTTGATGTACTGGGTACAAATATGTCCAGGAGAGCTATGTTCTGTGCAGTTCCATACAGTACCCCTGTTTCTTGGTTAAATGTGGGCTAAAGAATGTCAGGCATGTCCTAATCCTATCACCTCTTGAGGGAGGAGTGAGTGAAGAAATAGAATAAATGCAAGTCTCCTGCAAAATGATTCCTTTCCATGGAGCAAGCTATGGAAAGACCTCATGTAAACAAATGTTATGAAAATCAATAAGATGATAAATGTGAAAATTTTAGATAACAGAAGGTGATATTATTTTTAAATCATCCTTTAAATAAAAGAATCTTAATTAAATACTACTGTAGTGGGTTAAATAGTACCCTCCCTTCCAAGTTCATGTCTACTTGGAACCTCAGAATGTGATCTTATTTGGAAACATTGTCTTTGCAGTTGTAATCAGTTAAAGATCTCGAGATGAAATTAACCTAGATTTAAAGTGGGCCCTAAATCCAACAACTGATGTTTCTATAAGAGAAAGGAGAGGAAGATTTGGACCTTCAGATTCAAAGGGAAGAAGGCCATAAAAGACAGAGGCAAAGATTTAAGTTTTGGTACTATAAGCCAAGGAATGCCTTCAGAGGGACCTGATTTTGGAATTCTAGCCTCAGAACTGTGAGAAAAATTTCAGTTGTTTTAAGACACCAAATTGGTGGCAATTTGCTACAGCAGCTTCAGAAAAGCTATTATACAACTTCCATCCCTACCTTCTAGGATACCCCTGGACCTTAAGCATTGCTGCTTGGTCCTGGGGATTTGGAACAAGACTGACCACTTCTTGGAGTGTCAAATAATCTCTAAAAAGCAAGGGGTGATTATCTCTCTCTCTTTCTCTAAATACACACATTTTGTTATACATGTAAAAATTTATAACAAAATCAATGTTTGAAATTAAAGTAATATGGCTAAACAACTCTTCTTAACTTTGGATTATACTTTCGGAAGATGTCTATGACATAGTACACTATTATTGATTTAAGATATTTGACCTGGCTTTTAAAAATAAAACAATTACGGAAGCATAACCTACCCTGTGGAAGTTGAGAAAAGTATATAATCTAAGTTAGCTATGAGACTACTACAATTTTTTCTCTAGCAAGGATTGTTTTTTCAACTGTAGTTCAAAGTTAGAAATAACAAACAAATGACATTGACAAAAGCCTGTAGGTATATAAAAAGGTGCTTTTAAGTATCTCAGTTTTCCTAGATGTGTTTAGTCCTTGCCTATTCTTCAGAGCTATTTTTAAATGCTGTTCACATACATTTCTTTTATCTTTCTCTTATTTAAAGACCAGGACATTCAGAGTGGATGGTGGTGCCAGAAGTTCTCAATATTAGTGTCGGTGGTAAAACCCAAAATAGAAAAGTTTTACAGAAAGAAAAGTCAATCAAATCTGAGGAGAAAACATGAGTGTCTATAGACAACTGGTAGGGCTACAAGAACCACCCAAATTAATGTGTTCTTACTAAGTCCTTTAGCCTTGATGACTTGTTTATTCTTTTCCTCAATTACCA